TCCGGTGCCTGTTCTACCGGCAAGTAAAGATGCAAAGAATACCCACTCTTGACCCGTCCCCATGTTGTGGCCTGGGGATCCGTGACAGCATTGATTGCTTCCCTTAGAAGGATTGACTGTCAGTCTAGCCCTCTCTTGCGATCAGTCCCTCCCTCTGCTGGTAAATCTACTCGTAAGGAAATAAGCCTGCTATGATCCTGGTCAGCTCCCAATGGAAAACTCACAAAGAGACAATGCCGTTCAGTTGCAACTCAAATGAAAGAGGTTGGAAAAAGACTCGCAACGAAGGAAGAAGAATGGCGAATAGAAGAAGGGTACCAACGGGCCTAGCTCAGTTCGTACCCCAATGAACTGTTGAAATATGAATCAGACCCAAGTTCGAATCCAGATACAATCAGCTGACCAGAATAAAATCATTCTGAATTACCTGGGGCCGGTCAGTTGAATGATGATATCTCAAAGCCGTCGCCCTTTTTTTTTTTTTTTTTTTTTTTTTTAAAGTCGAAGCCAAGGTCGTCTCTCCCTCATCTCATCTTTATGTTCCCCCCCTCATCATCTCCACCATCATCTTATTATCAGTAATAAACAACAATAATGAATGAAAGAGCCAGACTCAAATACCCGGTTACTCCCCTTTACTGCCAGCAACACAAAGAGTCCTCCTTTGACCTCCTCACCTCTCTCTCTCCTTGGTACAACATCTGGCTATGGCGGCTCATCCCAGTCCATCTCTGGTGTTTAGAGAACAATGCAAAGCTTCCATGTCCTCCTGTACTACTGCCGCCAAAGCCACTCAATTAAATGAAGTCCTCAACCAAACATGCCCCTTTCAGCGGCCTTCTGGATGCAGGCCAACCTAGGAGATGAAGATGCAGGTCCACCATAGCCAAAGGTGATGCTTCTTCCAGCTTACCATTCCTTCCTTCTCCTTCTACCTCTACTACTCCCCCATAGCCTGGCTAGAGGTCGTTCTCCCTCACCTCCGTGGCCTAGGCCTACTTGTATCTTCTCCCGACTACTACTCCATAGCCATGGAGGTATTCTTCAGCATCCTTCAGCTCCTCGTCCACCACCAGGAGCTCCGCCAGCATCTCCCTCTGGGGTGAGCAGCACTGCACTGCTCCGAAAGAGGCCACTCTCCCCCCCCCCCCCCCCCTCCTCCCTCTGTGCAGGGGCCATGCTAATCTTCTCTGTATCGTTCCAATTTTAACGGATGTCCCAAAGGACCCGAAAGAGGACTTCTACCGCCCCTTGTACCGAAAGATACACTCTTTTCCTATCCGAGCTACAGTAACTTTCAGTGAAATTCTACTGTAGCTCGGACTCTCCTTAGTGCCCTGGACCTGCTGCAAGTGCCTGCCTTTTGGTGGGAACATTATTGCCTCTTCCAGCTACCCCAAGCGCCTGAATAACCCTAATATCTGTCTATATGCAGGCCCTGGACTATTGTTACCCTACTGGACTTTTCCCCCGAGTCTACTGGATCTACCTGGGACTACCCAAGTTGCTGAAAAAGGCCTGCCGTGTCCCCATCAACATTCGGCAACTACCCTTCGCCTTCTAGATTTTCAATTAAGTCCTGCATGTTGCCAAATTTTGGGTCGGTCCCTGCCTCTGTACCTACTATCAATCTACCCCTGCTAAGGCACAGAAACACAGCACACACAGTTGGTACAAGGACACAGACTTGGACTCAGGCAAGCACAAGGCACATGCACGTTAGTGGTAGCTCACACAGACACTTATAAGAACACAGCAAATCACGGCAGAGCAGGCTCGGGCTCGGGCTCGGAATTTTCATGAAACAGATCAAAAGAATAACATTTTCTGAAATTTTCTCATAATTGTAGGAATCTCAGACATCGATTTGTGCGGCTCATTGCAGCTGTCAAAATCGATACAATACTCTGTAGCCAAGTGATATAGTGCTGTGGTTGGGTCTGCCTCTGTAGCCAAGTGATATCATGCTGTGGTTGGGTCTGCCTCCAATGGAACTAAGTTTTGGATCTGGTATATGGCCATGTCATGCGAGGGCATCGGCAGCCTGATTATCCTTTCTGTTTGTATTGATTCTACTCTGTGATTGGATTTATCAGACCCGCTGGTCAAGCAACCTCTTGGCAATGGCTGATCCTAATATCATTCTCTTGTCTTAATTGGAGCCTCCTGGTTTGAACCTGGTGTGGAGCTGCCTTGGTAGTTGTTACGGATTTCCAGCATCTCACTGATATTGAGATGGAAAATCGCAATTGAACAGTCACATCCAAAGATTCCAAACAAGTAGTCGATGAGACCACAAGAAAAGTGATGAAGAATTGAGGGCCCTGCCTCCTCGAGCGACACACAATCGACCCTGCAACAAGCGGTCTCTGCTCGATGCTTGGAGTGGGTGGCTGAGTCAACCTTTGCCGTGGACAGCGAACGGGAAGGGAATGTGTTCTCCTTGAGCGCACTTCCCAGATTCGCAGCCCCAGTAGAAGCGACCGATACTCCTACTGCCCCCCTTCTGTTGCCGGGTGGCGCTGTTGCGGCGGCTGCTGCCACATGGGGCATTGGGGGATAAAACATGCCCCTTCTTCCCACACTTGAAACGTTGGCGGTTGTCTCTTCCCGCTGCCACTGACTTTCTGATATGTTCATTTGTATCCAGGGCTCGCCCTGCTCAAGTCCTGAGTGCAGGGGATATCTACGAGGGCCTCTATAACCTCCTCCTCCTCCTTGCAATGACTGCTGCTGCCATCCTCTCTTTTGCTGTGGTCGGGATCTGTTCACACCACCGGATTGTTGTGGCCCTCCCTTTTGGACCGTGGTGGTGGTATACTTCCCTCCCTGGTACCTGTCATCGCAGCAATCATCCATCTCCGCCTCGTCATAGGACATTACGTCTGTCTCTCCGGTCTCACAGATGAGAAAACCGTGGTCCTTAGCGGCCACACTTTAACTATTTTCTTGCCCTTCCACGTACCCGCTTCTTCAATTCTGAAAAGGCTGGGAGGTTGACTTGCTGCTGGAACGTGGCTATGTCTCTAGCCTTGTCTGCATACTTTCTAAACGTCATACCTCCAATCTGCAGATTGAGAACACGGATGTTCTGGACTGGCTCAGGCATGACCTTGGCCAGTGGCCTCAATGGTTGCTCATCGGTGACTCCATGGCCTGGAATCTGCAGCAGTCCGTCCATCTTTCTAACTAGGGCATCTATGCTTCACCAAGGGGTTCTATGGATATTCATGATAGTATCCCCAGCGATAGCTCCCTTGTTCTTATCTCTAAACTATTTGCTGAGATCGGCCAGAAACTGATCTTGGGACAGTGTCTTGCAATGCTCATCTATCTTGTCCCCATACCCAACAGTGTGCACCTGGCTCATCACCCATGCCTTGGCATCCCCCTTCAAGGCCATGGTCGCTATGACTACTCTGTCACATTGGTGAACTCGCTCTACGGTCATATAGGTACAGATCTCAGCAACCCACATAGCCAAGTCTTCTTCTTTCTTGCCGGAGTAGGGGTCAGGTAACCTCATCCTAACCCGCTGCTAATAGGGAATTCTCC